AACAAAATCTGAAGAGTTGGCAAAGAAACAGCTCTCCAAAGACTCCATCTTATCACTGTATGGCACAGGAACCATGCAGCAGCAAAATGCTCCGGGTAAATAATTTTGTAAAGGTTTCTGTGCAGTCCTATTTTAAGCTTTGCCTAGAATAGTTACCTCCTACGAGTATAAAACTAAGGTTGAGTACCCTGCTACCTATATTCAAATGAAGATTTTTATTTTTACCGTTTATAAAAATGAGAAAATTACTGAAATGTAATACAGAAGCTAAAGAAAAAAATAGTATGTGATTTTAATTTATTTATAGCTGTTCAAATTATCAAGTATACAATTTACTGAAAGATTTGTGAATTCAGCTTCTGCCGTCTAATTCATCGCTTAAGGTCTGAGTCTCCAGCGTGCAAACAGCAGGCTGCCAGGATCAGTACAGAGCTGTCATATCTTGATTTTAGCTAAGTTTGTATGAAAACAAAGACCTCCAATACAGCAATTAAAAGATTCTGGTTCACAACAGGGATTTGCCAAACTCTTCTTGGCAGTTAACCTCTGGTGGTGAGTCCCTTTCCTTTGAGAGTTTTTAAGTGATTTTTTTACTTTTACCAGAAACTAAATTAACAGCACTGACGTACAAGTGGACAAAGGTTATCCTTTAAAATTATTTTGGTGCCCTGCTGACTTACGGGGATGGGGGAGAAAATCACAAAACACTTTTGCTGAAATCTTCCCTTCTCTGGTACAGGTATGTTCATGGGATCGTCTTCTATGCCATTTACCACACAACCATCAACTCATTTTCAAGGCTTTCCAGCCATGGGAGTTCCTGTGCCTGCAGCAACTGGGATGATGGGAAGCATGATGGGACAATCGGTGCCAGTCATTGGACAGAGCACAGGCGTGATGGTAGGAATGGGAATGCCCAATGGATTTACGGGTACTACACAAACTGGTGTGATGGGACTTCCTCAAAATGTCGTTGGACCTCAAGGTGGAATGGTGGGACAGATGGTCACGCCACCAAATAAGTATGGATTGCAACAAAACCAACAAGCTCAATGGAACCTCTCTCAGGTAAAGACTTGCTATTCCCAGACAAGAGTGCTTTAGAAACGACGCTGCTTTTCAGATACAAAATGTTTGGCTGTAGGAGGAAAGTTGCGGTGTAGCCAACTTACAGACTGCTGGACTATGAACTGCTCAGAGGCACATGGAAAGTCAGTGAATAATTCAGTTAACGATAACTAATATATAAGCAGAGAATAAATTTTGCCAAGGTAGACCAGGCTCAGTTCTCTGCTTCTGTAGCTACTCTCATCCTGGCATCTGAACTAGCCAGGTAAAAAGCTAGCTTAGCTATAGTTACAAAATACCGAAATGTAAACACAGCCTTAGAGCCAAAAGCAGAATTCAATTGCTTGAGGATAGCCATTAACAATTAATACTTCCATTGGCAGACTTCAGGATAAATTTCAGTGGAACGTGCAGTGCTTTGCATGCTAAATGATCCTGTAGATCATTTGCTTAGGCTGATCTATTGTTTGTCTGTAGCATTTCCATGCTATTTTTTTAAATTTCTTAAACATGTAAAAGGTTCTCTAAAAGTGTTAGTTTACACTTAGTACTATATTGGTACTCATTATCCAATGAGGCATCTTGAAATCGGGTATTTGAGAGGTTATTGGGGGGGGAACAAACCTAAATGATTCCCTTGGAGTTCAGTATGGATGATAGCAGCTATTTTCTTCATGCTATTGTTTGAATTATAAGAACAATATAATAATCCCATGCTGCTTACTCCAGCAATTCAGGAAGTGAACCTTAGTGACTTATTGAGATTGGATTATATTAATTTTTACTGTTCTGCTCAGTCCTGTGGCATGAACATTGATGAAGGTAAGCAGCATTTCTTAGATAGATAAAACGGCCCCTGCTTGAAAATACAGGCTCTCATTCTCCTTTGAAAAGTAATTTTTAAAAGGCGAGAATTCCAAAATGTCAAACCAAAAAAACCTGTGGATTTACTGCTAACAGTCTTTTTCTAGGTATCTAACTTTAAAAAGAGCCATATCAGCTTTGAAATTAAAATCATGCTTCTTATCAAATACAGATTAAAAGTTGGCTCGTAGAACTAGCTCTTAACATGTTTCTGTACTCCTTGCACATCAGATGTTACCAGTATGCTGACATTCCACAGTTTGTAGGGGAACTGTGATCTAATCTCTGGCTCCAGTTGAAAGGGGGAGGAGAGCTTGCTTTACTTACCGGAGTAGCATGCTTTATGTAGTCTACTTCTTAAGAAGTCTACTCCAGAAGAGATTAACGACTAGGTAAAGCATGTTTTCATCGGCTTTTATTAAATTTCCATGTACGTTCAGTGATGGGTTGTTTTTGTGGATACACATGTGAAAGCACACAGTACTGAATTTTACCCTGAAATATTAGTTTGCAATTCACTTAAATTTTTTCACCGGTGTTTGTTTCATTTTGCAACCCGGTATTGTTCGCTCATGTTTACACAAACTCTTGATTTTTACCTACTGCTGTCTCTAACTTGAATCTAATGTTGCTTATCCAACATCCCTGTTCATCGGCTCTGATTATTAATTGCTCCAAATGCTCTTTTGCTCCCAAACTCATGAGAGGGGACATCTTTACTCTGTCTACACAGCTAAGTTTGTGGCTTGTCAATAAGTGTTCATTTTTTAGAAGGCAAGGGAGAGTAACCTGAAGAACGTGTTTACATTGAGCACTGAAAATCACAGTGACTAGATAATGTTTGCAGAGAGTAGAAATATTTTTGCACCATCCCTGAAGTGAATGTGCTGAATTTTGAACCTTTCCCACCTTTAGCTAGATGTTGTCTTTAATTTCATGTGAATGATTTCACTTGTTTCTAAGAAATTATAGTATCTTGAGTAGATTCTTTAGCAAGAATGGTTAGATTTAGATAATACTCGAGTTTATAAATCTGCCTCATTCTTTGTTGATTGCCACCTAAAGGGACAATTTCTATAAAAACTTGTGTATTCCAGATTTTGAGATTTCCAGAGAAATATTGCTGGAACAAAAAACATATGGAGTTGCAAATGTAGACAGGGCTATGTTACTTGCTTTGGTGTTTCTTTATCGCAGTTGCCACAATTTTGTTGGTTAGCTTTGAAACTTCGAAAGCAAGCTCTTATCAACTGAGACACATCGGACTCCTTTATCAAACGCTCTGTAAATTCACTAGTGGAGTGTTTATACAGGCTTGACGTATACACCAAGTGCTGCAGCCAGTCAGCTGACGTACCATGGTGATGGAATGGTTCTAGAAAAGCTGCTATCTTGAAAAATCGTTAGCAACTTACACTGAGTCAATATTTTTATTTGATGAGACACATTAATTTTAGGGAAATGTACTTTAACTGGGTTGCTAGTTGGAGGCGTGGCTGCTTTTTGGCTAGCAGGGTGTGGTGTTTCAGCACCAGTGCTAACTAGTGTGTGTGCTTCGCAGATGAACCAGCAAATGGCTGGCATGAATCTCAGCAGTTCCAGCAACGTGATGGGCTTCGGCCAGCCCCCCAGCACGGCGGCAGGATGGACTGGAAGCTCCTCTGGTCAGACTCTCAGCACACAACTGTGGAAATGAAAGTTGCAATAGAAGTCTCGCCCAGAACAGCCACCTAACATTCCTTGTTCAAATGCATTTACCTTCGCTGTTCCTTCCATGTACATACTCTTTTTCTTTTTCCCCAGCTGTTCAGATTAAGAATATAACTGACTGACCGTGTTGTGGTCTCTATTGATTTGAATTTGATGTAGTGAAAACCAGATCAAGAATACATTTATACGTCATTGGCAGCGTTTTCATACAATGCATACGACTTCTCATAGGCCATACATTTAAGAAGCTGCTTAACCACATACTGATTTTTTTTTTCCCTCAAAATTCTAGATCAACTGTTTGCATATAAGGGATGTAGCTATCATGTTAGTAATATCCAAAAATATGAACCCCGACCCCCCCCAAATGACCCAGTAATCCTGTAGAAGGTACTGTATGAACAAATGTTTAATCATATATAAATAGAATGTAAATGTATCACCGAGCAATGTTTTCTAGTGTATCAAACAAATTTTGTTTCATCATACATTTCACTGTGATGTTGTTATGGTGTGCGTAACAGGGAATATGGTTATTGAAAGAAAGATAAACCTGGATGTTACTGTAGTTCTACAAATCAATAGTTTATTCTTTTAAAAATGAGCATTTGATCCATTTGAGTTTCCTGTGATAAAGTATCCAGTCCGGCTCACGAGGCAACGTACACAGTATTAAAATGCTGAGAACTAGCGGCACAATAGGTGTATACAAGGTAACTCAATGTGAACAGATATATTTTTCCTTGCAGAGATATCCAGGTTTATGACAGTGATTGTGTTTACATTTTATGGTGCCTCGTAATGATAAAATGTTATTTCCCTATATTAAAAGGATAAATCCATAAATGATTGTGGGTTTTTATTTCATTATTGCATGATGTATCTGACCACTCGCTCTTCAAGAAGTCTGCTTTTAATGAAGGAAAACATGTTCTATTTGGAGGATCCATTTACGCAAATATTTAGAGCAACAGTTCGTGAGTTAAAATCCATTCATAATTACACCATTAAGCTGGATAAATACAAAAAGTATATACATAAATGATGGTTTTGAAAATACTCCATTGCAGCCATGTTTCTCTCTGATTCTTTTTACTATGTGGAAACAGCCGTAAAACAAAGGTAAGTGTCAGCTTATTAAGACGAGAGTTCAGAAATGCATGCAAACAAGTTAGAACAAAGCACACCCACGTGATTTGCATATTAGAGTATCTGACAGCTTCCTTTTGTTTCCGCAGAAGTCCATCAGATGACTATTAAAAGGTCTCGCGCAGAAGTAGACTATTTTAACTGGTTGAATTCGCACACCTTCTGACACATCCGTTGTCCTGTACTTCCTGCGTAACTCTGTCTCCACATCATACCTCAATACTGACTGTGTCCAGATGGTATTTTGGCTCATTGGCTAGATTTACTTTCTCTGTTCGCGTGTGCCATACAAGAACCTATAAAATAGCATTTGTGTTAGTACAGTCATCTACAGAGATGATACGAAAGCTTTTTGCTTAAGCGTGGAAATCGGTACCTTTGTGCAGTTGTTTGCTTTTGGCTCCAGCTCCTCCACTGTTGTTATCTGTTTCAGGAAATCAGATTCTTGCATTCCCGGTTGAGAACCACGACGCTTGAATACGGCTTTCGGATGCGACAGAATCACCTGAAGACTCACAGCAAATCCTTGGAGAGAGAGGGGGGTGGGGAAAAAGGTTAAGAAAAACCTTTAGGCTTTACATTTTTGTGCAAGTTACACTTAAGCCTAGAAGTCTCCTATGTTCTTTTTAAAAATGTGTAAATTTGATTATATGGATAGACAATATTTAGTAGGTTTGTACACCCTACATTGTTTTGTTTCGCCCTGAAGGTGCAATCGGATTTTTTTTTTAAATTGCACCGTCTTTTCAACATGTTTAATCCATTTCCTGTTGTGTAGAGACTATATGCTTTTTTTGCCTGAAAAGTCAGGTACTGCAAAGATCTTGGACTATCCTTCCTTTCTACTTCTAATTAAGAAATAAAACTAAATTTTAAGTGAAATAAAATGTATGAAGTATGAATGTATGAACACTTCTAAGTTTAAAGGTGAGTCAGAAAAAAAAGGTTAAAATGTTACTTGTAACAGCTGTGGTATTTAGAGGTTTTTTAGCCTGTAGAGAGTTTTAACATTATTGTTGATGAAAGACAAGTCATGTTAACGTTTTGCCTTGCACACCATGTAGTTACTGTGGACGTGTAAATCACTTTCATCAGTGGTGGTCTGCAAGACAGTCTGCAGCTGATCGCTGCATTGCACAGCGTGACTGAAAGAACTTTGTCAGTGCACATGCCTCTTTGCAATGCAGTCCTCTAATAACATACATTAGGTCCCTCAAAGGGAGATTACAAACTCAGAAATCACTAGTTTGAACAAACTCGCCCTGTCTGAAGCTGCTCTCATGAATCTCCAATTTGCCATTATTTATAGAACTCTCCACTTTTCATTCAGCAAGGTTCAGTCGCATGTATGCTTAAGTGTGACTCAAAACTTGTCTGATACACTTGTAAAGAAAAATTACATTTGTAACTCCTTATGTCTAATTGCCGTGCCTACCACAGAAATCCTTTTTTCATCAGTTCAGAGTGGTTCCAGCTGTCCTTTTGTGACAGAAGTAGTAGAAGTTTTGACATCTGTTCTGAAAAACTGCAAGAACATCTAATTCTAAAGCCAGTATTAAAATTTTCTCAATTTAAAAATGAGCATAACTTTCTGTAATGGAATATAAATGTCCCCTTTTTTACTGGAATTATTTTGCTACTGTATTTTCCTTGAAAGTGTCTGTGGCTTTTATGGGAGCCTTTTAAAGAGGAAAATAAAAGGAAGTAATTACTACATCGCATGTAAAGGCGGCACACTGAAACCACTTTTACCATGCTTTTGTTTGTAGCAAAGTACAGGAAGACACCAGAAAGTGATTCCCTGCCCCCTCCAATAATGATTTGGACACCGGGTCAGATGTAAACTGAGGTCCCAATTCATTGACGGACACGGTTGCAGAAAACATGTTTAACTTTATACATTATATTCTGCCTAAGATAGATAAAGAAGAATCTAGATGGACAGGGCTTATCCACACCTCGCGGAGTACTCCAGTGAATAAAAGACTTGCAGGAGGTGTGAGGCTGTGGCTGCAGCCTGTCCTTGCCCTGTGCGGTTAAGCTCTGCAGCTCCTGCTCTGCGGGCTGCACCACCTGCTAGCAGCAATGCTGGGATCCAGCTGTGCTCTGCTGCAGCTGCTGGGTTTAGGTAAGCGGTACCAGGCAAAAGAACAGCAGTTTGGACTGTTCTTCCCAGGTGGGGGTTTGGCTTCAGCAGGCTGCAGGCCTTCCTTGCTTCCTACGACTTGTAGCCTGGCTATGAGGGAGCACAAGGTGGGCTCCGTCCCAGTGCTGTTTGTAGCCATGTGTAATCATCTGTGGAGAGCTGAGGTTGGGAGCTTAAACTCCCTCAGCAAGAGACAGCTGCAGTGCATACAGCCAGCTTTCTGCACCTTGAAAGATGACCGTAGGCTTATTACTGATGAACAAATTGGCCTGGTGCAGTTCAGTATTTTTGGTTAGTGTTCCCCCTCCCCGCCCTCAATTAGAACAAACTATAAATTTTTGGTGCAACTGGGCTTTAGTATGGTTGATATTTCAGGCAAAAAAAATTATAGTTTGCTTTGCAAGGGAAGGCGGTGTTGGATCAGCTGTGTGAGCTGCTGTTTCTTTTTAAAAAGACTTAAGATTTAATTTTTAAGATGTAAGCTGGTCATCCATGAAGGTGAAAACGAAGTAAACACCAAAATTAGTGTAGTGCCCTAGTTTCTAGAGTGGAGAAGGAATCCATTCTAAGTGGAAGAGACATACACATTTTCTGCTGCTTATCTTTGCGTGTCTCAGCTTGGCTCCCTGGCCCCCACAGCCCATACTTATCCATACATCAATTTCTCCTAGGTTCTCTCGTTGCAAAGCTCGCTCCTCTGTTGAGAAAATTGGATTCAGTTCTGAGGATGGATTTCTCCTACGCACGGATCTTCAGATGCGCCAAGCCCCCTGCCCCCTGCATGTAACACATGCCCTTGCTACCATGCTATTGCACGCTGCCATTTCAGGGTGCTATCAAAAATCCCCCATGTTTTCAGGCATCAAATAAAAGTCAGATTATTAAACTGAGCGTTGTATGTGGCAAGGACATGGACTAGTGTGCACTGACTGGCCTGTGGCCTGAGGGTTGCTTCCTTGATCAGTGGTGATGCAGTCTTTGTTTCTTCAAAGAATCCAATAAAGCAGCAACTTGAAGAGATGCAATAATTCAAAGAAAGAGACTTATCTCCTGGCTCTCGTTCTTCAGCTCTGCTTTATAACTGCTTTAATTTCACATGTGTGACATTTTGTATTTATGTAGACAGATTTCAGATAGACTTGAGGGAAAACCATTTTCTAGTGACAACTTTCAGTTGATTTCTTTTTATCACAGACAGATCATTTTGGCACCAAAAAGAGAGGAGATGGCTCAGGTTTTGACCAGACCGGCACTAGTTATTTCTCTCAGTAGATAATGATCCTGTGGTAATAGATGAAAAGACACTGTCGTTTTGAATTATAACCCCAAACAGGGATTTATCTGGGATTACTGTCTCCAGCGTAGCATGATGGAACAGTGCTACACGCATACAATTCTTTCACTTGATCCTTGTTATTCCTACAAGGTCATATTGGGCTTAAGTTCACATGAAACGCCACAGGGCAATTTCATCGCCAGAGCGTGAAGAAGTGTTTTGGGGTTTTTTTTGTTTAATGCAAGGCTGTAAATTAAATCTAATTGGCTGAAGAGCCACCTAGATAAGAATTAATTTGTTGGAGGACAAGATACTTGGGAGACACGGCAAAGATTACATCTGTACTTCTTTCTACTGAAGCTGTTTCTGTTAATTCACACCTTGACTTGTGCTAGATCAATGGCTTCCATTAAAAGGCAGAACCGTTTTTATTCATCCAGTTAGACTGAGACAGTCTTTAAAGATTCTGTTGCCGTGATTAATGCCTTTGCTTCCTGAATGCTCTAGATGATAGTTCCTAGCTTGCCTTCAGCTACTATCCTGAGAGTGTTTATCATTTCCAGAGTGAAGAAATGCTCATGCTCAGTGCTGATGTTGAAATGGATATACTGGTTTCCACACACTTCAAGGTACTCCCTTTGGCTTGTTGAACATGCCGTGGCTTGGGGTCCTCTTCCTTCAAGTTATCTTCTCCCTGCGACATACTGTTTGGGTTGCAATAAGGCAGAGGTGTTCAACCAGGAGTTAATTCACCATGAAAGAGGCTCTTGATTTTAAACTCAACATTTAAAATAGTTGTTACCCTTTAATGGAGGGGTGGTTTGGGGTTGGTTTTTTAGTTTGGTCCCCCCCCCTCCCAAGTCTGGTGTCTGCCATAGCCTCTCACTTAAAATTTGTTAGTTTGTAGTTGTGACTTCCAGCAGTGGCTCTTTCAGATTCAGACAAAATATGCCATGTTTTGCAGTGTCATTAATAGGAGAGCTTTTTTTCTCAGGGAACCATAAGAAAGACGAGATGTACTAAAGATCTCGTAACTATAGCAAAATCAAAAAAAGGCGGTTGCTCAGGCCCTAGCAGAGGAACTTAGGGCACAGTGGATGAGCTCTGGACCACAAGTCCAAAATCTGCTTGCCTAGTGATTCACAGGCGTGGATTAATCTTTATGGCTGAAGTAGCTCCTGGAATGCTAGTGTAAAGCATGCATCTGTTTTCCTTGAACAATCTTGACATTAGGAGGATCACGATCTAACTTGTTCTCATGGGTGGTCAAAAACTCTGGCACTGGGAAGAAGCCAAAAGTAAATCACTAACAGCATCGTTTAATATAGAAGATTTTAAATCACATCTATAAAAAACAACACAGTGCCTACCTCACAACACTCAGTTCTCTCTCACTTTTCTTCCCTGAGGGTAAGGAAGTCTGTCTCAAACTCTAGAACCCACCTACAGTTAAAACGGAGGTGGAACTTTAAAAACACTAGAACTAATTCATACGGTGTGTTGGTTGCCAGACAAGAAGCAACACAGGAAACAGCTACTCTGCCTTCTGAATGCAATTTAGCATTGGAGAATAGCAGTGTCAACCACAAACTTCTCAAAAGAAATAGCCAATGTTTACTGAAGTGACCTAATGTGATTGCCATGTGTGAGTGTATTTCAAAGAAGAATCCAGGGAAGTTGGCCAGCTAGGGTCTTTGAGCTGATCCCAATGAAATCAGCAGGACCTGTCTCCACCTGCAGCAGATTTGAATTTGGCCCTGTGTTTTGAAGTCTAGAATAAGAAGCTGATATGCTTAAAAGCAAGGATGCGCTTCCTCTGAACAGCCACAAATTAAATCAGTGGTCCCAAACCTGTTAAGCAGTCATTCTTTTCACACCCAGCCTCATGATCAAATTCTTGTGAAAATCACTATGAAAAGATAGTTCTGTAAACCAAAGGGAGCCTCCTTAACAGTGCCTTGGGAATCAGAACATTAATTATAAGCAGCTGTAGACAGCCAAGCAGTTTAATGTATGCACCTGGGTTTTTTTTCATGGTAATATTTTCAAAAGAGATCCTTGATCTTCCTTACGTGCAGTATATGGTACACACTGAGTTGTTGTATATTTGGTGCGAGCAGGTGGAGGAATGCCAGTGATGTACTGCAGCATGGACTTAGGTTTGTTAGCAAGTCCTC